GCTTACGTCTGCATTTTCGTATGTCTAACTACTCGAGCAGTGCATATAGAACTCGTTGGTGATCTAAGCACAGCAGGCTTTATGGGTGCATTTAAAAGATTTCTATCGCGCAGAGGCCCTGTAAGTAGATTATATTCGGATAACGGTACGAACTACGTCGGCGCAAAACGTATTCTATCGGAACTACATGAGCTCTTAGCTAGCAAGTATTATAATTCGGAGTTCGCTCACATTCTAGCCGAGAACCGCATTGAATGGTCTCTGAACGTCCCAGCCGCGAGTCATTTTGGGGGCAATTGGGAGACTAATATTAAAAGTCTAAAGAGCCACTTATACCGAGTAATAGGAGATCAAATTTTGTCCTTCGAAGAGCTAAGTACGGTGCTCGCTCAAATTGAATGCGTAATGAATAGCCGCCCACTTTGTCGGACGTTATCTAGTGACCCCTCGGAACCGCTGGCTCTAACTCCAGCACATTTTTTGACTTTAACGCCTCTAAGGTATCTGCCCGCCGCGGATATGGATGAGAACAGACTTAACATTTCCACACGCCACAAATTATTAGATCGGTTAGTGCAATCGTTTTGGAAACGATGGAGGATGGAATACTTGCATACTTTGCAGTCTCGGCAAAAATGGAACACAGCGACAGAGCCTTTAGCTGTAGGAACCGTAGTTGTGCTCACTAAGGAGAATACGCCGCCTCTCCACTGGCCGTTAGGAATCGTCGAGGAGGTCTTTCCCGGTTCCGACGGAGTAATTAGGATAGCTCGCGTTAAGACCACGGTTGGGTCTTACCTACGTCCGGTTATCCGTTTGTGCCCCTTGCCTCTTCCATAATTTAAATTAGCTTTTTTGACTGAAATTGTAGTTTAATTTAGGTAATCTTAGCGTTAGTTAGTTATTTGTTAGTCGATCTTAGCTCTAGTTGTTTAGTTATTTTTTTTTGAAGGAAATCCTTCAAGGGCGGGGGGAGATGGTTGCGCGGAAAACCATTCGCGTTTTTTATTTTTGACGGTAGGAATTTGTCGAATCATTATTCCCTTCCGAAACAATATCATTCGTACCCTCCTATCGACACATCGGGGTGGTGGGGTGGGAGGGGAAAGAAGACGATTCTAGAACATCGCGTAATCATCGGACCCGAGGATATATAAGACACGCGCGACCGACGCGCGCTCTCTTCTCCCGCCGCAGTCGTCGTTGAACTACAACCTCCTCTTCCCGCGCGCTCGTTTGGAAACACCTCACTAGTGGAAACCGCTTTGGCCTGGAAGCAGTCGAGCTCCAGGAACCCGCCTCACCTCGTGTGAGATATCGTCGCGCACCGCCTCTCTCCGGAGTGTTCCAGAAGTCGCTATAGTGATCGACAGGAAGAAGAAACCCCGGTGAGTCAATACTCCTTAATTATACCTGCTTGCTAATAATTTAACCCGCTCCAATTTGTGTTTTTTTCCTAGTCAAGCAGGATTCCTTTCATCGATTCGACAAGTAATAGTTTAGTTTAGGGAAGAGCGAGTGCATTGTACCGCATGCTATAGTAGTCGCTTCACATAAGCATAGAAGCAATCGCATATACAGTCCACTTTAGTTAATATCTCGCGTAATAGGTTTGAGGTTTGACCGGGGAACTAGATTTTCGGCAGCCTTAAACACGTGGCTCCACCAATAGCAAAATTTGCAATATAGCAAAAAATTTTCTAACTTACAAATTTTCCCGCCAAAAAAGGTCCCGAGTGAACGGGAGTATAACATGGCGCGCGCTCGCTTGGCGAACAGGTTAATTAGCCTAAAACTATAATCGAAGAGGAACGCGATCTCCTCTCGGGTCACAAAGTTTTAGCGTTCCACCTGACAAAGCAAAAATTCCTTCGTACGACATTAAATACCACACAAGTAACTCGTAGACGCAAATTAATGGCAATCAAAGTTAAATTAATCACTCAAACTCAAGGAAAGCCTCGTTGTCACGTATACGAACAAAATAAGACCACGCAAATGGTGAGGTTTTAATGCGACCTAACGATTCTAACGTAACTTTCCGGCATCTAACCGACACGGCCGTCGCGGACAATAGATTATTCCACACTAATTGGCACGGCCGCAGGCCGCAAAACGAATGCCCCCCGCGCAAACCGTTAAACCGGTTTTTCTCCCGAAACGAGTGTTTTTGCAAGTTTTAAGTTGTTATGATTTAGCCTAAACAAACATCATGCTTTTTTTGTAATAAATAACGTAAAGTTTATCAGTCGACTTTTAAAACAAAACAAAATTATTGCACAATTAATCTGTGATACGCAAAACGACCACATTCCTCTTTCAATCACTGCCGGTGGATCACTGAATCACGCGACATTTCAGATTCGACTTGTCGTTTTCATACGGAATCGCGCCGCTGTCGAACTGTGCATATTATTTACGTAATATTAACGCGTTTTATCAGAAAAACTCAAAATCAACGGTTTTTTACTTCCATCTTTTTTTATTAAACAGGCGATATGTATACAATATCCAATATTATCGTGAAAATTTCTGAAGCATACAGTTAAAATATAAGTTAAAATATAAGTAAATGTGAAAAAGTATGAGCCATATTTAATAAAGTGTGATTCCTCTTGAAGATTATTTTAATTCAAATTCTAAACTATCCAGCTGATGATTTGCATATCTTAACCCTTAGCACCACACGCTATTTCTAGCCACATAACTACACACGTGGGACACGTGTTCCCCTTAAACATAAACAACATTGGTATCTGACTAGGCGTACAGAGCAGTCGTGTTTTACAATTTTTAAATAAATTCAATTACGCTCAACAATCTAATTTAAAAATTAATTATTCAAGGTTAAGTTATAAAGTTAATTGAGTTACCAGTGCCTCCGTTACGTGATAAAGTGCGGAGATTTACTTCTACCTCGGCGCATAAGCAAGGTAACCGCTCTTCACCCCCTCGGAGAAAAGAGACAAATTATATTTTATTTGACCTTTCACTCCTGTGCGATCACTGAGCTTAGGCGTGATATACGCTGTGCCATAGATCTATGATGAACGTACTACGCTCGCCTACTGGAAGTGGCCTAAGTGGGTCGGAACCAAATTTGTCCACAACACCTGAGCCTACAGATAAATCAAAGGTTAACATGCGCAATAAGAGTAAGCGTTTTGATGATTGCGAAGATATCAAGAAAGAATTAAGCGAAATTCGTAAAAAATGTCACAAATGATGTTGATGCTCACGAATTTGAGCATTAGTCAGCAAGAATTTAACACTAAAATTAATAATGATGTTTCAGATATTAAAGAACAGATGGCTGATATAAAAACTAATATTCAGAATCTCACAATGGAGCAAAATACAATAAAATATTATATCATAAATATAAATTCTATTACTAATACGAACGTTGAAGTTTTGCAGTCTGAAGTAAACCTGCTTAAAAATACGTCAAACAATCATACAACTCAGCCTGCAGACACTTCTTATGAGTCTATCATATATGAAATTACAGACCGAAACTTTAGACGCAAAAACATAATTATAGATGGACTACCGGAACCCGTATCGAAAAATAAAGAGGAAAGGAAAGACATCGACATAAAACAAGTAACTAAAATAGTAAAGACGATAGATGGAAGTGTCCAGCACAATGTGGTATACCGTCTTGGCAGATATAGCCCCGGCAAAGATCGTCCCATAAAAGTATGTTTTTCGTCTTCAGAGACAGCTTTAACTATGTTACGCAATAGAAAAAATGAGAATTTAGGCAATCTCAAAATATACGCAGATCACACCATTCTACTGAAAAATATTATAAAGATCTTAAAGAAGAAGTAAAGCGCCAATCGATTAATAATAACAATAAAAACTTTATTATAAAATATGTTAGAGGTGTGTCGAAGATCGTAGAAACCTCCTCAAAAAACTAAAATCACATGACACCACTCACCTCCAAACACTTTCGTGTAACGTAAACCCAACTACCTATCAAATTGTTAATAGTTACAAAGATATTTCTTCCACCAAGAAGTCTCTACGATTTCTATATACTAATGTAAGAAGTATAGTGAAACCAGGAAAATTGGATGAACTAAAATGCGTAGTTGAGTCGTTTCAGAATAGGATTCATATAATCATCCTGTCAGATACATGGATAAAGTCAGACAAGGAAGATATTAGTTTTCAGATTCTTGGCTATATTTACCATTTTAATTACAGGTGTAACATGAGAGGTTGGTGGAGTACCTATATATATTCATTTGCAATAGCCTAAAACACCACGTAACCGAAAATCAGTCCCAAGGTGACAATCACTACCTGTGGATTCATCTTGACTACTATTGTCTTGATATAGGTGCCGTATATCGGAAACTAGACGCTTCAAATTTAAAAACCGTCTTGGACTTTTATTCCAAGCAATTACATGAAAGAAGCAGAGCTGTTGTGTTTGGAGACTTTAACATTAATTTACTGAGTCAACAACAGGCAACTTAATAATATAATTAATAACTATATATATATATATATATATATATATATATATATATATATATATATATATATATATAAGGGGTGTATAGTTATTCGCGTCCGTAGGAACTACCTAACCACTACCCTACACGTGCCCCATGGGTGGTGCCAAATGAATAACAACGCCGGGTCTCGGGCGGCGGTTAATTAACCCGACCAAACCAGCCTAACCAGCTTGGTCTAACAGTGAGAGTAGGAAATGACTCCCACAAACCGCAACCCTGTTAACGCTGCTCGCAGGATCGGTAGTCTTGGCTTAATTGCCCGGACTATGAAGAAGACAACTTCTATAAAAAATCACCCCAAGTCTACGGTGAGATTCGTGCCAAGAGACTGCATGGCTGGTGGGAGACCAGTCGCAAACGATCCACTTCGACGGACCTGGCAAACGTCGTTGTATTAGCCTTCTAGGGAGAATAGGCGTCACCTCCCTAGCGACCTGTTATATCGGCCTTACTCGTGGGACTAAAATGAACCAATTAATTACAAAAAATCAACAAACCCTACCAATTTCTAAAAACCCGACCAACCCTAATAACATGGTCCAACAAACTTTGCATGAAAGCATGTTTATTCGGAACAGAAGCAACTCGACATCGTCTCTGCCAGCAAAGCTTAATGACTATAGCTCCAACCAACATAGAGAGCAACAGGAGAAAGACAAACTGGATTCACAGACCGAGACCCAATTTGACAGTGACAACATAACCTCAGACGAATGGCAAAGGGATGAAATTCCCACCAGGAGAAAGAAAAGGAAAGAAACAAGTCCAATTCACAACGACGGGAATAAAAAACAGAAAAATTCCCCAGACTTTGTGATCCCTACACGTAATAGTTTTGAACTACTTGATACGGAATCTACGGATAGAATCAACAATACAGACAAAGTATATGTACCAAAGCCAGAACCCATCTTTGTTACTGGCGTAATTAATGTAAATTCTCTTAAGGATGTACTAAACAAATTTCTAAAGAGCGACCTTTACCTCATGACCACACTCAGATCTGGACACGTTATAAAAATTATACCTAAAGACATCCAGACATACAAAATGATTCGAGAGAACTTCATTGCCAATAATATCTCACACTATACCTACCAGCTTAAAAGCGAGAGAGCATACAGAGTAGTACTACGCGGACTCCATGCATCAGAAAATACCACAGAAACTCGAAAGAATTGTATGAAATTGGACATGAAGTGAGACAAATAGTCAATATCAGACATCGAGATACAAAGGAACCGTTGCCTGTATTTTATGTCGATTTAGAACCAAAGCCAAACAACAAAGCCATTTTCGATGTAAAATACTTGAATAACATGAAGATTTCCTTCGAAGCCCCATATAAGAAAAAGGAAATCATTCAGTGCAAGAGATGTCAGAGATTTGGGCATTCCAAGAACCAATGTTTTAGGCCCTATCGCTGTGTTAAATGCGGTAGCGCTCACCCTACAACAACATGTACTAAAAAACCAGACACTGAGGCTACTTGCGCGAACTGTGATGAAAAACACCCCGCTAGCTACAAAGGATGCAAAGTGTACAAACAGTATAGAGAAAGAATTCTTAAATTAGATTCTAAGTCAAAAGGAAAACCAATGCCTAACAATATAGAGACCAAAAACCTAGATCCCCACCTGAGTACTAAGACTAACTGCACAGATAATCAAAACTTAACTAAAACCTATTCAGAAGCAGCAAAAACCAAAGAACAATATACTCAGCAAAACATAAAGAACGACTTGGCTGACTTTTCTGATTTAATGGACATAATGTTCGAAAAATTACAACATTCAATGGTGACAATGATGGAAAAAATCATGGACAAAATGATGGACCGCATGGTCAAACTAGTCAGCAGCCTCGTGAAAAAATGACCCGAAACCTCCGAGTAGTAACTTGGAACGCCAACGGCTTGACGGAAAGACGTCAACAATTAGAAACTTTTCTCAGAACAGAGATGATTGACATAGCACTAATCTCTGAAACAAGATTCACACCGAACACACACATAAACTTTAAAAATTATACAGTATACACAACCAATCATCCAACTGGGAACAGCCATGGAGGAACAGCAGTAATTATTAAAAATAATATCAAACACTACCCCATAGAGGAATACCGAACAGAAAAATACAAGCAACATCTATTAAACTTGTAGACAGCAAACTAGAAACTATATTCTCCGCTGTGTATTGTCCTCCAAAACATACTATATCTGCCAACGACTTCGCGAAATATTTTTCTACACTGGGTAACAGATTTATATGTGCTGGCGACTGGAATTCAAAACATTTAAATTGGGGATCTAGGCTGAACAATACTAGAGGAAGGCATCTTTGTAAAGCCACAGTAGTGATGAAATTAGAATGTCACTCCGGCAGAGAACCTACCTATTGGCCTACCGAAAGACAAAGAATCCCAGACTGATTGGACTTTTTTATTGTTAAAAACATAGATAGTAACTACTTAAACATAGAACCTCGAATAGATCTCACATCTGACCACACACCAGTTATACTGAATGTTACTACAACAGTTAATCTAGTAGCACCGCTCCTAAGGATATACAAATCGAACACTACAGACTGGACAATTTATAAAAATAAAATCACAACAGAGACAGAACTAAAGACCAAAATTAATACAATAGAAGATCTTGAAAGACAACTGGAACAACTTAATATGACTATTCACATTGCTGCCAATTCTGCAACTCCAAAAAGGACAGGTAATGGACAACCTCTGAAACATAACTCATATCCAAAAGATATTAAAGAAAAAATACAAGAGCGCTGACGTTTGAGAAAAATCTGGCATACTACGGGATATCCAAGTGATAAAACTGCATTCAATAGACACTCAAATGAACTTAAAGCTCTTATCAGCACCCTAGAAAATGATAATATTCAACACTATCTCTCAAATCTAGATCCAACGAGAGACACAAACTACTCACTATGGAAGGCTACGAAGAATCTAAAGCGCCCGAAAAACCATATATCACCTATCAATGATGAAAAAGGAGGATGGGCTAGATCATATAAAGAAAAGGCAACAATCTTTGCGGAACATCTGAAAACAGTTTTCCAACCACTCCCTGAAAACAATCCCGAACACACTATGGAAATCAAAGAATACCTCGAATCAGCGAATCAAATATGTTTACCACTAAAAAGTACCAGCCCTAAAGAAATTGTAGAAGAAATAAGGAACCTCAAGGATGGTAAAGTACTCGGCTATGACCTGATTGATGCCACATTACTTAAAAACCTGCCTCATAAAGGTATATTGAAATTAGTTAACATCTTTAATGCTAGCTTAAGACTTGAACATTTCCCTGGGCAATGGAAAATTGCACATATAGTCATAGTGCCAAAACCCGGTAAACCCCCACACGAAGCTACTTCATACAGACCTATCAGACTGCTACCAGTTATTGGCAAACTGTTTGAGAGTATATTGCTTAACAGAATGAAAGAACATCTAAGTACAGTATTACCGAACCACCAATTTGGATTCCGGGAAAAACACGGGACAATTGAACAGGTACATCGTATAGTTGACACCATCAGCAGATGCCTCGAAAACAAATTATATTGTTCTGCAGTCTTTTTGGATGTTATCCAAGCGTTTGATAAGGTATGGCATTACGACCTCCTGTTCAAGCTAAAGAAGCATCTCCCACATTGTCTATTCCTAATATTGAAATCCTACTTAGATAAAAGATGCTACCAAGTGAAGTACGGCGATGATCTCTCAGAATTATACGAATTAAAATCAGGTGTCCCTCAGGGCAGTATATTGGGCCATATACTATACCTCATTTTTACAGCAGATATCCCAACAACTGACTACACCACGACTGCGACATACGCTGATGATACGGCGCTTCTGTCGGCTCACAGCAACCCAGAAACGGCATCATCACAGCTGCAAAACCACCTGATAGAAGTTGAGAGGTGGCTGAACCATTGGAGAATAAAAGCCAATGAGAGCAAATCGGTACATGTAACGTTTACTCTTAGGAGAGAAACATGTCCACCGGTAACGCTGAACTGCAAAGTTATCCCTCAAGAAAATAACGCAAAATACTTGGGCATGTACCTAGACAGGAAACTTACATAGCAAAAACACATTTGGACAAAGCGCAAACAACTAGATGGAAAACTGCGGACACTGAACTGGTAACTGGGACGCAAATCACAACTAAATCCTAACAGCAAGATGCTAGTGTACAAAACCACCATAAAACCAATCTGGACTTACGGGATACAACTGTGGGGAACGGCCAGCAACAGTAATATAGATATCTTGGAGAGATTCCAGACCAAAGCTCTGAGAACAATGTTTGGAATCCCTCGTAGTATAAGTAATAGATACTTATACCTCGACCTCGGCCTAAAAACAGTTCGACAGGAAGTAGCTCAAAACAGCCTGAAATACCAGGAGAAGCTGACCGCCCATGTAAACAAACTGGCACACGCTCTGAGCGGAGAAGCCGCTCTTCAGCATACCCGGCTAAAAAGAAGTGACGTACCGAGCCTACATAAAAGATTTACCACCTGACATCAAGAGATTCGTGTAAAAAGTTTCATACAATTATGACTCTTGAAGAAAACATAAACTGAGAAATCAGACAAACTAGTGGCTTATTGCTAAAAAGCAGATTGCCATGAAGCAGAAACATCAAAAAATATATAATGGTTACAATATAATAAATAAAATAGACGAAAAATACTGTACCCGTGAAACAGCTTCAACAAAATCAATAATAGACCATGTTTTCTCAAATCTTATACGATACAGATTTAATTTCATCATAATTGAAACCCCTATGTCTGACCACAAACAAATATACTTTTAAATACAGAAATTCCGGCCTGAAACACTGCATAATGTTAGATATGAACCTATTAACTACGAACAACTATGTAAAACCATGGTAAACTGAACAGATATTGGTAATAAATCATATGAACTATTTAAAAAGAAGCTGAATTCTTGCTAAGAAATAGTAGATTCCCAAAAATAAAAATTCTTAACCCACCTCGCCAAGACTGGATCAATAGAAAAATATAAGACAGAATAAATAGTCGAAATATAATATGGAACAAATTTAAGAAGAATCCAGAAGACAAATTATTAGAAGAAGAATTCATCAAAGAAAGAAACGAAATATTAAGAACCATTCATAAAACTAAAACTAAATATTATTAAAAAGCATTCAACGACTGCAAAAGCGACCCTAAAAAGATGTGGAAACTAATAAAAGAACTTTCTAACAACAAAGTAAGAGCCCAATCACTACCGAGTAAACTTTTAACACCCAATGGTTACATAACGGATCAAAATGCTATATGTGAATAATTTAATGACTTTTTCTAATGTAGGCTTGATCTTAAATAGTAAAATACCATCAAATCCTTATAATAATTTAACGTATACAAATAAAGCAAACACTGCTAAGTGCCTGAGCGTACCTTGATTTCACTATTTTACGCGACGGTTCTAGCTACGCTCGGTCTGTGTAAGGTTTGCACCTCGGCTACGTAATCCTTAAATACTGTTTATTAGTATTTTGTTTGTTCTAGAAATAAAAATTGCTAAAAAATGTATAATTACAACTGAATGTGTTTGAGTGAAATTGATTCGATATATTAGTGAACGCCTAGGATAAGACTATTATTTGTTTGTATGTGTTTTAAACTTTCTCATGTAAGTGAATTGTTATAAATTCTTATGAGAAATAAAGATATCTAAAACCTCATAATATCAGTACTATTTTAATCATAGGGTGACGGCCCAATAATAATTAAATTCAATATAAAAGGGCATCCAAAATATAAATATATAATATATATATATATATATATATATATATATATATATATATATATATATATATATATATATATATATATATTAAGCAAAAATAAGCATAAAGTTAATATAAACACATTTAAGACATTAGACCAATAACATAGTAAATTAAAGGCTAATTAATAAGTCAATAAATAAATTTATTTAAAAACTTGTAAAATATTTAAAATATGATAAATAATAGAAATACAAGTCGAAAATATTATAAAAATAAAGATAAATAACATTTATGAGATAATTAGAAAATTTGTTAAAAATTTTCTAAGTCATGGAAGGTGTTCATGTATAAAAGAAAATTTTCCTAAGTTATGGAAGGTGTTCATGTATAGATGTCTTGTATGGAGGAGCTGTCGGAGATACATACCTGCAGTTGTACATATATATGGGGTGGTCGGGAGCCCGACTGCTTGAAGTACTATAGCACAATGACTAGTCCTATATTAGGGACTTATGATAATAAACTCAATGATACAAAAGCAATACTATAGAAGGTCTCTATGATAAATTTGCATTACAATAGTGGGGTGGTGGGTTGAAGTCCTGTACATTAATGACTTATGAAAGTAACCTCGCAACTGCGGATGTCTAACACTTGGACGCAAAAAATATCTCCGTTGACTGCGGGCGTCCAAGTGTTGGACATTTTTACCCGCTCTTTTAATGTCGAAATAAAGCAATACGCACTATATCTAACTCATTCTACCATACTTAGATATGTACAGTATAAAAAAGGTTAGCATAAAAACCCCACAGCATATACACTTTAGTAGGATTTTTTATGTATACCATGTCCGTCCCTTGAGTCAGCCATCAGTGTGATTGACGCGCACTAACAACAAAATTGTTAGCAATTATTTTGTACTAATTTATGTTAATTGTGTAGTGAATTGTGTTAAAACAATACCTGGGTAAGCAACCTTCTTATTTGTACTCTCATTTTATGTTTTATCTCATTATGTACGTGTAAAATCGTTTTTTAATTTGTATGAAGCAAACCGCTATCTTAAAACTAACATGCTAATTGCGGAAATTTGACTTGAAATTTACGTAAAATTTTAGTGTTGACTGTCAATTTTGTGTTAAATATGTGTAATTGTTCATCATTCACAGTTTTAGTACATTAAAATGAGGATAAAGTGCAATATTTTCAAAATTTCAATGTAAATACGCAATAGGTGCAGTAGTGTCCATTTCTGAGACACCCCCAGTAGTGAATTCTAGCCTGTTAACCAAGCCTAGCTCACATTAGATCGCGCAATACCAACCTTACGCCCGCCAAGTAGTGATCGAATTAGATCAGAATTATGTAAACATGTCTACCTATGAAAAAACTATTTTTTCGTTTTAAACAAAACCAAAGACACTATGCAATAGATATTAGTATCAAAGACAAAGATATGCTCTTTTATTTTAAACCATAACCTGGCAATGTTTCTTAGAAAAAAAGAAAAGAAATCACTCTGAACTTTCGGTGGAACGCCGAAAGTTCAGAGTGATTTCTTTTTTTTTTTTTTTCGTGCCGTTTTGATAAATGTGCTCCGTCTTTTTTATAGAATTTTATATTTGTGTCTGGACTAAAAACGAAAGTATTATACTTTTTTTATATTCCTTGTAATATAGTAAACACATATATATATAATTTGTGGTATAAAAAAGTGAAAAGTAAATTGCCAAAAGTGCTTCAAAATCTGGAAGGCCAATTATGGCGGCTGGGTCATAAATGTGGTATTTTTCACATTCTCATTTATTTTTAGTGTAAAATGTAAGTAAAAATAGTTTTCTTACATATTTCAAATAACTTGACGTTGTATTTCTTTCAAATTCACACAAAACTATTTTAGAAATATTGTTCTAAATGTCACACAGATAAAATATTAATATTTAATTTTTTTTAATTTCTTTATATTTTTATATTTTGGTATGAGTAACGAATGGAAACACATAAAACATAAAAATATACATATTTCCAAACAATTTGATATAAATTTCTCCAAAAACAAAAGTGTAGAATTCAAATTAGTAGTAATTTTGTCACTAAAATTGAAGTACATACTACTACTGTGCTATACAGGGTAATTTACGTATTTTATTACAATTTCTAGCAACCAAAAATAATTTTATTCTATAGTTTATACATTCAACAATAATTTCTGTAAGTTTTATCCATAAATATTTTCTCAAAGTGAAAATATAGCAAAATTTGCAATATAGCAAAAAAATTTGCTAATTTTCAAATTTTGCCGCCATTACGGTCCCGAGCGAACGGGAGTATAACATGTCGCGCGCTGTCAGAGCTTACAGGCTAGTTCTCTGTTTTGCGGGTGGTGGAAAAAGGAACTAAAGTTTGCCATACTGCATCACGTTCAAATTCGGTTGAATTGGTAGAATCGTAAAAAATCTAGCGCCCTCGAGCAGACAAATGGAGCTTGGTTGACTCCAATCTCATTCGATGATTTATAAAAAATTTGATGTGGCATTTGGGTATGCCATGCATGTTAACACAAGACTTAGGAATTTTTTAAACAATTTATTAAAACAGAAAAGAAGAAAGTATTTACATATGCTTTTTAATATTTTTATTTTAATATTTAATATTTGATTTTTTTAATTCTAATATAAATAGGTTGTGGTTCTTAAGGTCACCTCAGACACATATTCCTTATATCGGTTTTTTGTATATGTACATTTTATCTGTATTTACTTTGTCATAAATCAAAAGGAATTTAAAAAAAATTCTTTTTGATTAACTTTTTACGTACGTTTCAGTTATGCAAATCGTGTAACGTTGCGTTATGTTTTAACCTAGAGCAAGATTGCTGCTACCTACAGTACCATTCATAAATCATCGTCAGTCTCGCTCGTGACGTTGTACGAAACAGCTGAATTATGTTTACGTTTACAAAGTTTTTTTTTATTTCTACCCTTAGTTTGAAATTATAATAAATAGAACGCAAAAATGCCCAAGTGTGACAACTGTGACAAACTAATAGCCAAGAAATCCGCTATTCTCGAGTGCTCATGCTCAAAAACTGTGCATACTACCCAGGCCTGCACCAGCCTAACATCTAATTGCTTAGCAGCACTGCGCAACAATGAGAATTCGGAATGGACCTGCGAAGTTTGTCGCCGTGAAACTCCAAGACAAAAGTCATTTGTCATACAAGAGGAGGAAGAGGAAGACGACGAGGAACTATTATTAACAAAGGGAACTGACAGCGGATCCAACGCGATGAAAAAAATTACTAAGCGACATATCATTTGAGGTTAAAAAAGCAGTAAAGAAAGAAATAGGCTCAGTAAATGAAGCGCTCAGCTCTTGTTGTCAAAAAATGGATGGAATAATGGACACTTTAGCGACGATTAGCGGAAAAATAAAAGAACTGGAAAACAAGAATACATATTTACAGTAGTTTGGAACAGTGGATAAAAGCAGCAAGAAAAGTAACTACACTTGCAGAGGACATCGTTTCCTGTCCAGATCCTGCTATAGCAAGAACAAAGATAATGATACGACGTGCCCTATCCAGTGCAAATAAAACTCTTCTGTGGCAAGCTAGGCAAAAACTTAAGGTTACTTATAAATATATATGGTTCCAGGGCGGTAGAATTTTAGTTCGTAAGAATGATAACGATAAACCTGTGGTCATCCGAAACCTAAATAACATTGACAAAATGGCGGTCGAGCATGTTGTAAGTCGGTAGTAGAAATTTTACGCACTAGGCACTACTTTGGAAGTTACTGAAGTTTATGATTCGACAAATTTATGTGAATTTAGTACCTATCTACCTAAACATACTAATCTTTTAATATTGTACATATAAATATTAGATCTATTATCAAAAACTGCAAACAATAAACCAATCACCAATAGCTATAGACGTCATTATACTAACTGAAGTAGGAATTTCAACAAGTAGCAATCTTTCTCAATTCTTTTCTATAAACGGTTATGAAATGTGCAGTAAGCTTCGTGAGCAGCGACGTGGTGGTGGTATTATAACTTACATTAAAAATTGCCACAGTTTTGAAGCATTAAGTAACTTAAAATTAACCCACTGTGAATCATTAATTATAAACATCCAATCTTGCCACCACTACACGACTCACATTTGCGCGTTATATCGACCGCCTAATGAAAGTAAGCATTAATGAACTTAAAGTACTACTATGTCACAATTTAATCAAACACTCTGACTTGTACATAATCAGAGACATAAATATTGACCTGAAATTAAAAAATAACATTCATGATTACTACTTAAGCTGCTTGGCCGAGTGTGGTCTGACGAGAGCGATTTCTGATTTTACAAGAATAGAGATTCGAAATTAAAAAACACGCGGAGTTGTATTGATCACATATTCGCGAGATCGCGCACGTCTGTCATCTACTCGGCTGCCCTTGGAACAGTATTGGCAGATCACCGCATGTGCGTGCTATCGTGCGCCGGGACTGAGGCTACCAGCAGAAGCGTACAAGCTGAGTCAAAACTCAAACAATTAATTAATAACAAAAAATTAATATCACTTCTTGAAAACGTCGAGTGGAATAAAATTGATAATATGCAGTATCCGATAGAGATATATAACTTTATTCAAAATAGCTTTGAATATTGTTATAACAATTCTAAATATACTACAAAGAATAGCATAAATAGTAAAAGAAAAAAGGAAAGATGGATAAATAATAAGATAAAATTTTACTGCGAAAAAAGAGACTACCTATATTACAAGTGGAAAAAAGATACAACCGATAAAATATTAAGACTAGAGTTTAATAAAATTAGGAATAAACACATAAACTTATTGAAATATCTCGAAACAAATACTATTATTACGAAATAAATAATAACAAAAATAACCCAAGGAAGCTATGGAATATTCTGAATTCCATCTCAGGCAGATTAAATAAATCATTAGATGCGGCGATATTAAAGACTTTAAAAAAAACAAATTAACAGCTAAACAGTTGTCAAATAATTTTGGTAAAAATTTTGTTAAAAATGTTGAAAAAATACTACCCAACTGTAAGAGGGAAACAAATTAACAGCTAAACAGTTGTCAAATAATTTTGGAAAACCCAACTGTAAACAAAACCTTTTAGATCAAGCAGAGTACATATTTCCTCGGAATAGTTCAATGCGGTTTAAAGTAGCAGATGGCAAGAGCATAAATAAAATAATCCAGAAATTGAACACAAACAAATCCGCTGGAGCAGACCAGATTCGCTGTATAGACATAAAATCCTTATGTGAAAAAATCACAACAGCAATTGCAAAGTTCATTAATACTAGTGTTCATTCTGGTATTTATCCCTCAGAATTAAAGGTAGGAATAGTAAGACCCATCTAAAAAAAGGGGTCGCACTGTGATTATGACAATTATAGGCCAATTACAATACTTCCTGTAATAGATAAAATAGTTGAAAAATATATATGTAGTCAGATACATAAATATTATATATCGAATGACGTTCTGTCCAGCACTCAGTTTGGCTTTCAAAAAAATAATTCAACTACTTCTTTGTTATCAAAATTTACCGATGAAATTAATACTTATTTAGACAACAAACAACACATAATTCTTTTATTTATTGACTACAGCAAAGCATTTGATACTCTTAAACACGGTTTATTAATACAAAAACTGGAAAATACAAGCATACGCGGGCCTTTACTCAGGTGGTGTGAAAATTACTTCAAAGATAGAAAATACCGGGTGGGAATTGAAAATGATTACAGTGATGAAATACCTGTAACTACGGTAACACCTCAGGGATCGGTTCTTGGCCCTTTACACTATCTGGCCTTTGTAAATGACATGTGGAATGTGATTAAATATAGTTCAGTGTATCAATATGCAGACGATACTTGCCTAGTAATAGCCAATAAAGACATAACAAAAGCAGAAAAAATGTTACAACATGACTTTACTAACCTCTGTATGGGTCACATGACGCGGGACTCGTATTAAATTCTGGTAAAACTAAAATTATACATGTACGCTCGATGCACTCTAACAAATACGAAAGACCAATAAAAATACTAGCACACAGCCACGACTGCCTTCATAGTTCGTCTAAATTAAATACTAACTGTAAATGTAATCCTCTAGAACAAGTTAACTCTTATAAATACCTAGGTCTGATTGTAGATGAAAGATTCAATTGGGGTAAACACGTTGAGCATGTATGTAACAAGCTACGGGCTATGCTAGCAAAGTCTGCAATACTAAAATACAAAATGCCATTTCCCATCCTTATAAATCTGTATAACGCTCTGGCTGAGTCTCTTATTTCTTATGGCATTACAAGTTATGGAAAAACATTTAAAACTTACTTATATAACCTACAAATCAGAATATTGAAAATAATTATACCTAAGAAAGTAAAAACAAAAATATACACTGAAAACAATATTTATGGAATATATAAATTTTGCAAAGTATTACCTATACACACGAAATTTCAGATGATAATACTAATAGAACAATTTCACAATAAAAAAGTGCAAGTTATAACTAACCATAAAACTATTACAAGAAAAGTTATACAAAATAAACTCGTAACACCTAAAATATATAACTACTATGGTAAACGTACAAATAGATATTTAATTCCTACTTTAATGAACCAAATACCCCCCACGATACTCTCAGATGTCAATGAAGATAACTACAAAAACAAATTCAAAAAATATTTCTATGAACAGCTGCAACGGGAGTAAATAAATATTAATAAAATATTAAATACAAAATTATATATACTTATAAAATCATCAATTAATTGTTCTAATTTTTATAAATATATGAACATATATTTCTTATATTTATAGATTAAATATGTATACTTGCAACTAAAATAAAAACAAATCAATAATGACAAACTATAAATAATAATAAAAAAATCAACTCTCAGTTTTTGCACCAACCTGTATACTGCTTCTGCAACTTGATAATCCGAGCGGCAGCTAAGAACGATCTAATTGTCACGCTCACACTCGTGTGCTCACATTAACCGGTTTTTCTGTCAATAAGGCCCGTACAGAACGCCGGTGATTTGCAATTACGGTGGTTTGAAATTTATCACTTAAAAATATGTACGTATTTACTTAATATTATTGTTACTTTTTATAAGCAGCCATCAATTAGATGATTGTATTAAGAGTTTGTATAATGTATGTGATTGTACTATTACCTATAATTGTGTGAGACTGTAACTTGCGGACAAACCTCACGGTTTTTGCAAGTTAATTACATTTAACTCATGTATTTACTATAATGTCATAAAAATGAATAGTACTGTAGATACGAGTACAGTGAATCCAACAAGTACCAGTAGCCTTTTAAGAAACGAGGACCCATGTTATATATTTATTCAATTTTATACTTATGTTGCGCGCTTAAGTTGACGTCATGTAGTGTTAGGGACGAGAGCGGGGGGAGCTTTCCAGAAAATGACATCACTAATCTTTCAACCGACAGCGCCATCTGGTGTCAAAACGAAGAACTAAGCTTCTAGAAGCCGACACTCGAACTTTCGACGCCTTGTCGATTGGTGCGAGAATGTTCTCGTCATGTGCTAATGTGTATTTATAGGCGCTGCAAGGTGCGATCGGGGAAGTATTGAATTTGGCGAGACAAGCGATGCTTTGGAGCGAAGTAAAGTGAATCAGTGTGATTAATTATTAGTGTTTTCAATTTAATTAGTGTAAAGTTAATTAAAGTGTTCATTTTGGTAATTCTATCGGCAATTTTTATTGTCACGAACCCTAAGCTTGTAACAATTGGTGTCAGAAGTGGAATAAAATCATGCCGATTTTACCTAAGGAGGAAACGGAGGGTGTCCGTACCCGAAGTCAACGCCAGCAAGAGACAGACCAGAGACGATTTGGTGGTGCAACGCCGCAGACATCGGAGGGCCAGCCACCGGCTGCAGGCCCGTCAATAGCTCCTACATCTGCAGCACCTGACTTAGGTGATCTGATGGTGATGCTGCAGGAGCAGGCTTGCCAAAAGGAGGAGCAGGCTCGCCGACAGGAGGAACAGGTCCGTCGTTTGGAAGATCAGCTGCGGGGCGGACAAGAGGAACAGGCCCGTCGGTTGGAAGAGCAGATGCTCCTCATAAAGGACCTTCACGCTACCTTCGGTAAGGAGATAAAAGAGGTAAAGGATAGAGTTGCTCAGCATGACAACCGCCTGTCGGAAGCTGAAACCCGAATCGAGAAAGTTGAAACCCGAATCGACCAAGTGAACAATCGGATTGA